TAAGCTGATTATGAGACAACATTGTGTCTGTGTTGCAAAGAAGGCTAACAGCATAATGGGCTGCATTAGTAGAAACGTTGCTAGCAGATTGAGGGAAGTGATTATTCCCTGTATTTGGCACTGGTGAGGTCACATCTGGAGTACTGTATCCAGTTTCGGGTCCCCCACTACAAAAAGGATGTGGACATAGATGACCTCCTGAGGTCCCTTCCATCCCTAATGTTTTATGATTTTATGATTTTCTTCAAAACAACAGCAAAAGGTACATCACTGCTACAAATGTAACAGCCTGGATAAATTTCAAGTCGCTGTTTCAAAGCCCAGAAACACTAGAACTGCTTAATAAAGCTGAAGTAAGAATCAGTTTTATTTTGGAGAAAGCAACATGTTTTCTCCAGTTTCACGCTTAGAAACAGTTGAAGCACTTTTGCTGAAGTGTTAAAAAAAATCCATCTGGAGCAGGCATTCAAAATGAACAGCAAGGTTTGACAATTGAAAACAGGTTCTTTTAACAGGAAATGTTAGACAACTCTAAGTGTAGGCAGCTCTAATGGCCACGCCTATAATTCTTCTCTTCTACACAAGATTCCCTTGTGTTATTTAATTCAATTTAACTGTCTAGACTAGTCTTTTCTGAACACAGCAACACAAGTGAAAGGAAACCAAACTTTGAATGCATAATGCAAATATTAAATATTGAAGGAAAGTGTACTGGTAAGCCAGATGCAGAGATTGGTGACCTTTTTTTTTGCATGATCCAATAGGTCCTATGCAACATATCTGGTAGAACCACAACTTTTCTCCTTTTTGTTAAAAAACTCCATCTTAATGGGACTGGGTCATATGATCGCTGCCCAATTGATTACCAACTTCCAACAATGAGTCATTATTTTGTCTGTAACATAAAACAAAAATACACAGTGGAAGCCTAACTCAGCCTTTTAGAGTAACTCCAGGGACTTATTTTTCCATTTGTGGTTTCGTTTTTTCAATCTTCCTTCAAAACATGAAGCACAGCGCAGGATGGGCTTGTACTGTATGCATGTGCAACAGCAGAAGGAAAAGAAGAAATTTGCATCGCCTTTCCTTTCAGTCTCTGAGTCTAGTTTGGGGTTCTGTAACTGAATCCTAGTCCATGTGCCAAAACAATAAGGCTACCTTTTACTCATATATACAAGTAGCTGTATTTATTTCAGCTGCAACTAGTTTAAGTACTAACTACTTGCCTGAGTACAGGTTTGCAAAAGCAGACTTATTAATTAAGTACACACACACACACATATATATCTATCATGATTTATGTTAAATATATATCAAAATTGTACTTTGACAACCAAATGTTTTGCAGAAAAATTGATTTGAAATACTCTGTCTACCTTTCCCATTAGTTTGATAATATATGAAGTATATGAGCAAAAAATCTTTTTTTTGCAGCAAGGGAAGTTTAGGTTAGATATCAGGAAAAACTCTTTCACTAGGAAGGTAGTAAAGCATTGGAGGTAACACAGGTTACCCAGCACCATTCGCAGAGGTTTTTAAGACCTGGGTAGACAAAGCCTTTGCTGGGATGATCTAGTTGAGATGGTCCTGCTTTGTGCAGGATATTGGATTAGATGACTATCTGAGGTCCCTTCAAACCCTAATTTTCTACAGTTCTATGATTTTACTTTGATTAGATTAATTTACTATTTTTGAATGTATTTAAACACAGTATTTTCTGCAGGACCTAAACCATTGAAAATCATTGCGTTCCTCAGAAAAAAAACCCCTATGCTTCCTTCAAGATACTTCTTTCCAATAAGGCTGCATGCCATTTAATTACCAAAATGTAGGACAAAAATACTCCTTTTTTCCGTTCATTAATATGTGTCTTTCCTCTGTGGTAGCTATAACCCTTCCCCCCTTAAATTCCTTTTAACAGTTATCATAAATCTTTTTGGTGTACACTAAACATTTGAATGCGTCTTTCAGTATGAAGTGTCTGTTACAATAGGAAAAATATTGCTTGACAGATTAAAGAGATTTTCCAGCTCTGATCAACATGTTATGTCACTTGAAAGAGGAGAAGGCACAACAGAGTTGACATGAGGAGGCCTGTGTGGTGAATAGTACATTAATTCAGTCTTTCAGAACCAACAAAGGGTTAAGAAAGGTATAATTGTAGGCTAAAATCAGATATTTGGAGTGAAAAATTCTTTTTTATAGAAGTTTCAATGTGCTCTTCTGCTTGACTGGCTCACCTCACATACTGTTCATGTCTATTTCAATCTAATGAAGAAAGTTTCTAGTTGAGCTGCACCAGCGATCCCGTCCTCCTGGAAATTATATGTACTTTATATTCTGTATGAGAAGCAGAGGACTAATAATTTTTCACTTCATCTATTAAAATATTTATTCCCTAAGTCCTTTCCCCCGCTTTTTCTTCTTAGATAGAGCAGTGACTGATTAAAAGAATTGCTATACATAAAGGGCTTTTGCAGGAAATCCAGAAATCTACATTATAATAAAATATTGTTTCCTGTGGTGAGGGTTTCTGAAACTCAAAGTGAAACAGATCTTTTCAACTGCCACCGGTGTACATACAGAGTTGACTAATTAGACACTAACTGGCAATATTTTGCCTGAATCTATTAGCGCACAGTCTGAGTGTCTCTGCTAGCTGTCTCAGTAATGTCTCCCCTGATTTGAAGTGTAGCTGATTGCAGTTACATAGATCTGAAATAATGAACCAGCTTTTCGTACTCAAAGGCCACTCATACTGATCAGCTTCTCTTGCTCGATAGACAGACCATGGTTTTAAGCCAATGTGCAACAATTTAGGTATTTAGGAAAAGGTGGTGCCAGGAAGCAGAGTCTTGCACATCCTTGAGGTGATTTAGTTACTGATTAAAAAGGGAGATGATGGGTTGAGAGGAAAATAAAGATTGAAGGAGAGGCACAAATTGTGATTCAAGATGTGTTTTGCCTGCAGGTGCTCTCAGTGTTTTTCTGCCAGCAGCCATGATATTTAGAATTAAAATGCAGGCATTTCTCCTGAGTGGTAGTCCCTATTTAGATCACTTTGAACTATCCAAGGAAAGATTTGCAAGCAGTGTTCATGTGCTTTGAAGGTTCTTGCTGCCAGCACCCTACCAAGTGCTCATTTTGTACCCTCTCACTTCACTAATATCCTGACAGCCAGTGGCCATGATCACTTATGCACCTTCCCCTCTCTAATCAATCTAGTGAATCCTTTTTTTGCTATGGCCAGCACTCTGTTATCTCAGTGCCTAGTTAATCTCTCCTTTTTTCTCTCAATTAATCCAAATATTTTTAGCCATCAGCACAATACTTGGTCCATTTTCACTCAACTAGCTAGCCCCTTTGTCCTGGTTCTGCAGTCCTATGTTTAATCTTGGTATGTTACTTAGTATGAATTGACAGGATGAATACACAAGTAGTTTTGGCATAAGAACCTTGAAAATCACTTTCTAGGAATCTCCCTGCCAGGAAATTGGCTCACTTAAGAACTAAATCCCTTCAGGGCAGAGCCGTGTCTTGTTTCGTGTGTTTGTACAGTGCCTAGCATAATGGAGCTGATTTTGTTGGGTTTACCTGGGTGCTATCATAATACAAATAATCAATGGTATTATTAACATTGTTGGGTATAAAGATAAAGAATTATAATTCATGTGAAAGTCTGAATTCACAGGAAACAGGTTTGCATTAAACATCTACTTGTCCTTTCTAAGGGTGTGTGTGACTTTACAGCTTCTATCTCCAGTCTGGCTCTGATAAAATAAGCCCTACCCAATCACTAAGTGTACCATAGCATTGAGACCTGACTATGCTGTAGACAAGCCCTAAGACCCTTTTTTAAACCTTGTTTCTGTTGCTAACACTGGCTTAACTGAAGTGCTGCCTGCAAGGGAGGGAAAAAGAATGAATTTTATTAGTAGATGTTAAGAGTTATGAATCCAAATACAGATCGCCCAAGCAAGGGACTAACATAGGAGGGATGGGGGTGAGCATGGGGACGCAACTAGGTTACAGAAAATACAATGTTAGCCAACTAAGCCCGGGGGGTAGAGTAGTAGAGTAGATCAATCTTTTGCTGTTAGCACTCTTTTAAGCTAACAGTCCTTAAGAATGGTAATTAACATTGTCCTGAAAGCAATGTCAGTAATCAGTATCAGTTTAGCATGTTAGAAAAAGCTTACAAGTTTGCTTTGTGTAGCTAACACCCTAGGCAGAGGTTGACAGCCTAGAGCCTGCAGTTTAGATCCGGTCCACAAGGAAGCCTGATTGGGCCCTCAAAGGTCTGATTTGGCATGAGGGATTGATGGCATTGAGCATCTGTACCTCCTCTCATTGCAAAGGACTTGGCGATCAGTAGGGAGTGTAAACTCAGGCAGCAGGCTATGCCCAGGCCTAGAGATTTGTGGTTCACGATGGGGAGCTAGTAATAAACGGCAGCCCACCCCTTCCCCCCAGCAAAAGGTTGCTGACCTCTGCCCTAGGGCAGTGGTAAAGAGAAACACATTAACCATTTCTCTTTGGAACCTGCAATTATCAATTCCTGCTTCAGGTTAATAAACCAAACACAGACTTGAGCCATGGGAATTGAAAAATGTTTTGTTTCTATGCAATTGACCCTTCCCTCAATGGTCTCTTTCTTTGGGCTTCTGTTTAATGTCTACTTTATTGGTAGTGTATTGTCTTGCTTTAACACAGGTCCCTTTCCACACACACACAGAGCAGGTGTTCTGCTGCCCACACTACTAATTACCATTTGGAAAGTGTTGCTTCCTACTGTCTTTGCTGCTTCCCAATACACTACCTTTACAAACAAGATATTGACAAAAATTACATTTCAGGACTAGAAAAGCTCTTTTACTGGGAAAGCTGTTGGCAGCAGCTCCAACACCTTCCAGTAATAATGAATCCAGTCAGAGCTGTGTGCAAGGCTTAGGGTATTTTATTACCAGTATGTGTATTTGAGCTTGTGCATTAATCATTACCTAGAGGCAAAGAGATAATTGTAGAGTTTCTTGAGGTGAAGATTGTGTCCAAGGCTGCTGAGGGCTCTGTGGTGTCTTGCAGTGGTTTGGAAATGGAATGAATCTGAATTCATGTTTCAGCATGACCAACAGCAGTCTTCAGAAATGAATTTCTTGTCCAAGAAAGGGAAGAGCAGGGTCTCACATTTTTCCTGCCAGATCAAAGACGAATCAATTACTGGGGACATCTGACATCCCTGTGGCATAGTGCCATATGTTTAGGAATCTTTGATTGATGTAATTTGTGGAATCCTGCGAGAGTTTTTACTCAAAGCCTATGTCATTTCACTTACAGTATTGATGTGTATTTTAGACGGTAGAGGTCAGAGTACTGACCTGACAAAACAACGTATTTCATAAAGCAATTTAGGGATAACAATTACTTCTATATGTTTGCAAATTTGCATCCAATTCATGCAACTGTACTTGAAACTGGGCACTTGCATATGCAAACAAAGAGTTACTAAATCTAACTTCTGTGTATTGGAAAAAAGACAAGTTAAAAGGAAGGCTTACAGGTTGACAATTCAAGTGTAACCATATGTCCAAATATCTAGCTGTGCCAACCTAATTGCCCATTTGTTTGTATGCAGCAGCAGTTGCACTTGCAACGTAAGGACAAAATTGTCTGTGCAATTAGAATACTGTATTGTGTTTTCTCAGAGAAAGCTTTCATCAAAACTGTAGGACAAAGGAAAACTAGCAATTTATCTTGCAGAAACAGCCACTAACCTAATGTCACTGACTGCTTGAGGGGAAAGAACCCACAAGTTAGTAGGCCAAACATGTAGGCTCACTGATTGACAACAAAAACTAGCATGAGACTACCGCAGAGATCAGATGGTTTGGCAGGGCCACCTCCAATTGTACTGTCTCAGATTTCTCTCCAAACTGTCTGCAAATAGTTGGACATAACTATCACCAACCCTACCCAAATGAGTCCTCTGTGGAGGGAAATGCCCCCACTCCCTCCTGTATCGTGCACTACCACACAAGAACAAACAATGAAGACATTTCAAAACAGAGGAGGCGACCTTATAAGGAGCCATGGGAAAACACCACTGCAAATTAGGTCACAGCTTCAAAACAACCTATCTCCTTCATCAGCCCTGATGTTTTGCTCTGGAAGTAGACTGTAAACTTTCAGGGCAGAAACTCTCTTTTCTAGTGGATTTGCATTGTACTTAGCACTGTGACCTAGCCTTATTCCTGATTAATGAATTATACATAAAATCATAAGGGTTCACAGCCAGAGTCAATAGACTAATTTGTATTAGAATAAGAAACCAGTAATAAATAAAAAGGATAGACATTTTCATCATATTAAGGGCTTTAGGGAGACACTGGGTTTACTCCCTGAAAACCTGAATGCCTTCATCTGTAGAAATGCTACAGCAAACAGGGAAGTTCCTGATGTGTCTAAGAGCAAAGTATCTAAAGGTATTTAGGTCCCTAAAGATGCAGATACAAATATCACACTAGGTTCCTGCCTGCCCAAGTACTTTTGAAAATTAGCCTCTAAACACTGACCTGGAAGCAGCACGGTCTGATGGCATAAGCCATGGGCCTGGAATGATATGAACACTTCCCAGCTCAGCCTGTGATTCACGGTTTTAACACAGGTCTTAAGCATTGAATCTCCCACAGTGCATTTTCCCCACCTTCGTACAGTGCTCCAAGGGCAATAGATAAAAAGAGCTAAATGTTATTTAGTCTTGGGGTAAGCTTGTAGTTCACTGCCTGAGGGCTTTTTGTCTCTAATGAGCTTGCTTGCAAATGTGCTATATTATAACCTGTTGCTAATTAGGTTTCTAAGGCATGATGGTGCTTTCTATGATGTGAAAAAATATTCACTTAGAACTAAACTGAGTCAACTGCCTTTGTTTAGAAAACTCAGAAGTCCCCAAATGGATAAAGATTTGTTCTCATATCCATCAATATTGCTCATATTGGCACAGGACGTGTAGAGCTTCAGATTCGTTCTGAAATCAGTAAGCCATTCCCTCCACACCTCCTTCATTCACCATGCTTTTAATGAAATCCTAGAAACACTTATTCCCCTTATAGAAAATGCCCACTGTATCTGAACTAACCACATTCTTCTGCATCAGGGCCCTAAAACCAGGAGGAAAGGAGAAAGAGGTTGCTGAAAAATAAAACCCAGGAGTTGGGCATGCTGCTGACCAAGAGAGGTGGTGCCCATTCTAGAACAGGGTGTCTAAATGGTCAGCTCATTTTTGAGTTCAGCAAATCTACAAGGATAAATTTGCTGTGAGCCAGGAAGCTGCATTGTCTAGTAGGCTGAGCATGAGGAATGAGCATGAGAAGTTCCCCAGTTCTGCCACTGAATTGTCATGTAATCTTTGGCAAACAGTTTAATCTCTGTCTATCTCCCTTTCCCCACCTGTAAAATGCTTGCTGTGCCTATTTTGGTAGATTTTGTATAGCGGGTATCAAATATAGTAAACCAAGGTATTATTGAAATAATGACTTGACAGCATTTGATGAAGTAAGTTCTCTGCTCATGAACCATTATGCTATACTTATGCACTAAAGTGCTAGACTTTAGGAAAGCTGATTTCAATGAACTCAGGTGATTAGTCAAGGACGCACTGCAGAGTAGGAGTTTTGAAGTGATGGGAGCCCAAGAAGGGTGGCTGTGCCTTAAGGAAACGATCCTTCGGGCACAAAGCGAGATGATCCCGATGCGAGGAAAAAGAGGGAAAGGGGCCAGGAGGCTTCCTTGGCTGACCAGAGAAATCCAGGGCAGCCTAAGGGCCAAAAGGGGAGCACATAAAAAGTGGAAACAGGGAGAGATCACCAAAGACGAATATACCTCCTCTGCTCGCGCTTGTAGGGAGGCAGTTAGACGGGCCAAAGCTATCATGGAGCTGAGGATGGCATCCCAAGTAAAGGACAACAAGAAATTGTTTTTTAGATATACAGGGAGTAGAAGGAAGGCCCAGGGAGGAATAGGACCCCTGCTAAATGGGCAGAGACAATTGGTGAGGGACAGGGGGGACAAGGTTGAACTCAACGAGTTCTTTGCTTCAGTGTTCCTAAGCAAGGGGCACGACAAGTCTCTCACTGGGGTTGTAGAGAGGCAGCAGCAAGGCACCAGACTTCCATGCGTAGACCCTGAGATGGTGCAGAGTCACTTGGAAGAACTGGATGCCTTTAAGTTGGCAGGCCCGGATGAGCTCCATCCGAGGTTGCTGAAGGCACTGGCCGACATCATTGCACAGCCACTGGCGGGAATATTTGAAAGCTCGTGGCGCACGGGCCAAGTCCCGGAGGACTGGAAAAGGGCCAACATGGTCCCCATTTTCAAAAAGGGGAGGAAGGAGGACCCGGGCAACTATAGGCCAGTCAGTCTCACCTCCATCCTTGGCAAAGTCTTTGAAAAAATTATCAAGGCTCACATTTGCAAGAGCCCGGCAGGACAAATTATGCTGAGGGGAAACCAGCATGGGTTCATAGCAGGCAGATCATGCCTGACTAATAGAGGCTGTGACTTGGATGACTACACAGTCTGGTAGGTGGCAAATTGTCTAGAGGGTCGCACCCAGAGAGTCGTGGTGGATGGGTCGGTATCGACCTGGAAGGGTGTGGGCAGTGGGGTCCCGCAGGGCTCGGTCCTTGGACCGATACTCTTCAATGCCTTCATCAGTGACTTGGACGAGGGAGTGTGTGACAGGGGGCCTCCTCGGGGCTGAACTCCATGGCCCACCCACCTGTTTTTTGGGGCAACCGCCCGCCTTCTCGCTCGCCACGCCTTGGTCTTAATTGATTCACTGATTGATGTCAATTAAGCGGGAGGCTGCCCATTTTAGTGCCCCGACACCAGGGGGCGCTCTCTGCGGCTCCTATCCTCCCCAATACCGCAGCCCAAGCCTCGCAGATGGCATCTAGGTGTTCATCTCCTCCGGCCCCCATGCTGGGCCCCAGAATCTTCCAAACAGGACCCCTCCACGATCCCTCCTGATCAGGCGGCTTCTCCGCCTTCATCCGGGCTGCCTAGCCCCCCCAAAGCCATTTTCCACTCTCGGGCATGGGCG